TCACTATAAAAACAAAATTTGTTTGTATAGCATGCAGTTTGTTTTCAAAGCTGCTCTATCATGTGTAGCCATAGTGCATGCAAGGTGCAAATTGCTCAGGCTTTAGTTCTGTAAAATAAAGGTACATCAATCTAGCACCAAGCCTTTCCCCATGTTTACATGTCATTGGTATGATAATCAATTTTTTTATGTTAATGTCTTTTTTAGATGGCGACACGCCCATGTACATACTCTACATGGCCTGAAATAAGCATGACGAATGCTATCAAAGCAGTTGAAGAAGAGGGGTTGACAGTTAGACTTGCAGCGGAGCTATATGGCATTCCCAAATCAACACTTTATGACAGGATCAGGGGAAATGTTCAACATGGAACTAAACCTGGCCCAGTGCCGTATCTTACAAAAGAAGAAGAGGTTATTTTGGCTAAGTTTTTAATCAAATGTTCTCAGATTGGATTTCCCCGCACAGTTTCAGAAGTTCTTGCACTAGTAAGACAAACAATTCAGTCAAAGGGTTTAAGTGACGTCTCAATTTCTTATGGATGGTGGCAGAAATTTTGTAGCAGGCACAGTGAATTATCACTTCGTACTGCTGTGCCTTTAAGTCTTTCGAGAGCCATGGCCACTGATAATAGTGTCATACAAAAGTATTTTGATATACTTGAAGATACACTTAAAGAAAATTCTCTATTCAACAATCCAACTCGCATATTCAACTGTGATGAAACAGGACTCCCATTGAATCCTAAATCTTTGAAAGTTGTGAGTGGTCGTGGAGCTAAGAATGTCAGTCAAATCACTGGAGAAGAGAAGTCTCAAATCACAGTTCTGGCATGCACTTGTGCAGCTGGAGTACCGTTGCCTCCATTTGTAATATTTGATCGTAAGACCTTTAATGATCAGCTAATGGTAGGAGAAATACCAGGTACACTTTACGGCTCATCTCCAAATGGATGGATCAGTAGAGAGCTGTTTTTGTACTGGTTTCGTAAGCTGTTTTTAACAAGTGTTCCTAGGGTACGTCCTCTCCTTCTCCTGATGGATGGTCATTCTACTCATTATGGTCCTGACCTTATCAAGATAGCAGCTGAAGAGCAAATTTTAATATTTGTATTGCCACCCAATACCACTCATTTAACACAGCCACTTGACAAAGGGTGTTTTGGGCCATTAAAAACTGCTTGGAAGGCTGTGTGTCATGAGTTCTGCACTAAAAACCCTGGTCGAGTGGTAACCAGATACGATTTCTCTGTATTATTTGCTGATGCATGGA